AGATAAGGCAGAGAGCAGACTTTATTGAGTGAGCAGAGTAGTTTAGCCAGTACATTGTAAGGCTAAAAACTAAATAATATTCAAGTGACGCTAGGCTCGCTCAAGATGAAACTGCGGGACTGCAATGCGTTTAGATAAGGAGTGAAGTGGAATTCCATTTTGTCTGGGAGTCAATGGCATCTCTAAACGAAGTTGAGAGAAGCAAAAAGTTTCTTTTATAATATTTATTCATTCTGTCTCAAAGTTGTGTTCTCAATAAATTGTACTATAGTTATCATTGCAGTAACACGAGCCAGTTGGTTTATAGAGGAACAAAGCCGAAGGTGAAGCAGTAAGCTTTATTTTTTAAGGTAATCATCATTAAATTGAGGAGCTTGGAGAAGTTTATTGATGGGATGGCCTAAAAATCGGAAAATAATATTATGACTCAGCATCAAGTAGGTTTCATAATTTAAAAATGTAAAAAGCTAAGTTTCTGAAACTCACTTCGCCCAGTCGACTTTTAGTACAACGTGGTTATAACGAAAGCCATCTAGATTGGTCACTGCTGCCTGCGCGTGATCAAATGAAGCATACGAGATAAAGGCAAAACCCTAAAGTAAAATGTATTAATAGTTATTTTCTAGCGTATACAATGCTCTTATTGTTCGTCAATTTTATTCTATAAATGATATATATATATATAAATATATAAAGAAACTCGTACTCTGTTCATCTGAGTGACTTTGTCCTTAGCAGGAAAAATTCGGATAATTTGGCCATATAGAGCAAATACTGCTTTTAAATCATCAATCTGCATGTCCGGAGGTAGATTAGTAACACGAACAGTAAATCCTTCCGGCACACGCTTACCACCAGTCATCGAAGCACCTGCAGTACCACGCATTTGCGGAGGGACATAGCGATTGCCGGAGCCGGAACCCAACTGAGTGAATTCAGGAGTCTTAATTGGGAATCGTAAATTAATAAACATCTATTAGTAGTTAATAAACAAGCTAAACGAAAAAAAGGAATGAATGAACATAAAGTAGCACTTTGATTTAGTCTGATCAAGCATCAATTCATAGCATGACACCCTTATGCAGTGCTGCGTAATATATGCATGCATGTAGAAAGATAGGAAATGATTAATACGACTAAGAAAAAAAAACAATAATATAACTTTGGACATCGTGGACAAACCAAATTTATAGTTAGGGGTTAGGAAAAGTCTACAGGAATTAGATGCCAAAGGTATGGATGGGTTGAGGAACTTCAGGGCATACGCTCGGTATGAGTATCATATGAAGGCATTACATGTCCTAAAATGGCAGCAACTACGAAAAATTGCCTGAATGAAATTTGCATAAGGATAAACAGCATAATTAGTGATTAAATTTTTAGCCAACTTTTGACATAGAAAATCAAAAGCCAAGTATATCGATCACACTATCAAGATTCTTGCTTAAGGCATATTTGTAGGCAAAATTCT